GGCTAGGATCTGGAACCAACTTCCAAGGGAAGCGGTGCTGGCTCCTACCCTGGGGGTCTTTAAGAAGTGACTTGATGCCTACCTGGCTGGGGTCATTTGAGCCCAGTTTTATTCCTGCCCAGGCAGGGGGTCGGACTTGAAGATCTACAAGGTCCCTTCCGACCCGACTTCTATGATTCTATCAGGAAGTTCATGCGACTGCCCAACTGAAACTACTAAGATCACCCAAGTCAAACTATGGTAGAAGAAGCTGCTATTATTGAAAACAGAAGGAAAGAATGGGATAAGAGGCAGTCCCAGCTCCCTTTTGAAACTCCCCCTCCCCGACAGTGTCCTGGACTGTGCCCACTCAAGACCAAATGGTAAGGTGCACATTGGTGTTCAACGCTGATAAATGCAAGGTTCTCCACCTTGGGGGGAAAAAAACCCACCGCATCCTTATAGGCTCAGCAGTGCTATGTTGGCTAGCACTATGGAAGAAAGAGACTTGGGGGTCATCATTGACCACAAGATGAACATGAGCCTGCAATGCGATGCGGCAGCTAGTAAAGTGACCAAAACGCTGGCTTGCATCCATAGATGCTTCTCAAGCAAATCCCGGGATGTCATTCTCCCCCTGTACTCGGCCTTAGTGAGGCCGCAGCTGGAGTACTGTGTCCAGTTTTGGGCTCCACAATTCAAAAAGGATGTGGAGAAGCTTGAGAGAGTCCAGAGAAGAGCCACGCGCATGATCAGAGGTCAGGGAAGCAGACCCTACGATGACAGGCTGAGAGCCCTGGGGCTCTTTAGCCTGAAAAAGCGCAGGCTCAGGGGTGATCTGATGGCCACCTACAAGTTTATCAGGGGTGACCACCAGTATCTGGGGGAACGTTTGTTCACCAGAGCGCCCCAAGGGATGACGAGGTCAAATGGTCACAAACTACTTCAAGATCGTTTCAGGCTGGACATAAGGAAGAACTTCTTTACTGTCCGAGCCCCCAAGGTCTGGAACAGCCTGCCACCGGAGGTGGTTCAAGCACCTTCATTGAACACCTTCAAGATGAAACTGGATGCTTATCTTGCTGGGATCCTATGACCCCAGCTGACTTCCTGCCCTTTGGGCGGGGGGATGGACTCCATGATCTTCCGAGGTCCCTTCCAGCCCTGATGTCTATGAAATCTATGAAAGTCTTATGTATCAGTGTCCCTGCACTTAAAAGCTTGTTCGATGAGCTTTAGTTAAAGTGCTCCTACCGCCATTTTTAAGCATGGGGATGCTGATACACAAGACACTCCAGGCGCTTTAATCAGAGCGATTCTCAGAGCCACTCTAATTAAAGTGCACCTCTCCCTCCCCCTCCACTCCCAGACCATGTGTATGTGCCCAAGTCTAAATCAGATTCTGAAGATTGGTCTGAGCCCCAGCTTTGGTTTTAGATACTAATTTTGTATTTTTGAAAGCAGGAGCTGATCAGATCCAAAAGTGTGTTTTTGCAAAGAATAAGAACAAATCTGAAATTCAGATGTGGAGTCAGAGTCAAATTCTTTATCTTCTACCCAGATAGATCTAGCCATTGAGGGATGTCCAGGTGAGCCTCATACAAGCAACCATTCATTTCTGGGGCTAGTTCTGCTACAGCAAGTTTTGAAGACAAAGAAACATGTAGGAAGCGTGCAGTATTCCTACATGACTCAGGTCTTACCCAGGCTACTGCAATTAAACAGGGTCTGTTGAGTGAAGGACTGAGTCATCAGTGTCTGTCTGTGTCTGTCCTGGGCAGAAAGATGCCAAACAAAGAGCTTGTGTAAAAGGAAATATCATTCTGTCTGCATATTAAAAGGTTTCTCTATGCTACTTTGCCAGCCAATTTGGACAGCAGTAGTTTTCCGTTGTTTGGACATTTATCTAAACACAATAAAAGCCCTAAGGATTGGCAATGGGCCATTTGCGGTGCATCAAGACTGGGCTGGGAGAGCCCCATGCCACTGAGAAGAAATGTGCTTCCTGGCCTTGGTAGGCAGCTTATGTTCACGCTTGTGTCTCTCTCAAATGGAAAGATTGACTGCCACATGAAAAAGTGGGAAAGAAAGAGGACACTATGAAAGAGAGGAGGTAGGACCCATGACCTTTATGTGAACCTTTATGTGACCTTTATTGCTTCTATCATGGCTGAACACAATGTAGCCATTGTGTTCAGCTATGATAGAAGCAACTCACAGAGACTTCACTTCCAGTCCTAGATGGGGCTAAAGACATCCTAGACATCATGCCCTCACTTCCAGAAGTAGGTTTCACATGACCCTTTGTCCGCGTGTTTAAGCCTAATGTTCAATTGAGCAGTGTCAGTCTCCATTTTCAAAAACACATGCTAGATCCTCATTTCCAGCTAGGAACATAACGGGCAGGAAGATGCTGTGCACGTCACTGAAGGTCTCAGATGGGTGACTTACAGAAAAGTATCGGCACTCAGGACTTTAGGAAACTGTAAAGCTCCCCCAGTTACCTGCGTTCAGTAGCTGATTCAAAGACAGAGATGATCATCAAAGTAAAGTATTACTGGTAGAGATAGTTGGAAAAATGCAGAAAAACAGTTCATACCCAATTTTTGAAGGTTTCTTTAAAAATTTCTAATTTCCACTTCAAAATTATAATCACTGTTATTATTACTGGTGATGAGAACATAGTTAAATAGATAAGCTGGTAGATTGATTAATTGGTATTTAAAATACATATTAGGATACAGGGAAACAAATATATATTATAGGCGTCAGTTAACAGGCTCACTGTAGATATTTCCTAGCAGTTCTAAACTGAATAGTGTTTTGATGCCATTAAAAGTTCAGTGAAAATATTTAAATTATTAGCTTTATGAATCCATTGCTTGACACTGAGTCCAATTTCATGATCCAGGCATTAGTTGGCACAAGCTGGCAACAGGTTTGAGGTCTCGTGGTAGAGAAGACAAGATTTCAATTTTAGTTCTTCCATTGAGGCTCAACTTGGTCTTCACATAGACATGGACTTCTTCCTGGAAGCATGACACAGCCACCCTGGTATGGATGCAGGGAGTCCCAGATCTGTAGATTAATGCCACACAGACACTGTAGCAGCACTGAAGCATGTCAGCGGGCATTAAAGGAGTGCTGGATCCTTAGGATCTTCCACTCGGAAGGTGGTACATCACTGAAACAACAGGGGCTGGCATGGTTTTGAAGTGTCAGTGTGTAATTAGGGAGTCTTTAATCCACAGATTATCAGCTCCTCACTCTAAAGCCCCCATCTGTTGTGCACATTGAAAGCATTTTATCTCCGGGCCTGCTCACGCTCAGGCTCACAGGATTTCAGCTTCTCATAAGGCTTTTATTGTTCATGCAAAGTGGCCTGTGTGTATCTGCCAGTTGGTGGCAAGGCATTGGAACAGATTTGGGCTATCATTTTCACACTTGGGTGCTTAATGTTAGGCACTTAGAGTTGTATTTAGGCATATAATTAGTTAGTCTGAGTTGCAGAACCTCCCATGGAAGGTATAAAACATTTGCACTCGAAATAATCCAGATAGTTATAATCCACAGGTACTTCTTATCCATGAATCCCTGTTTCTGAATTACTCATTTCACCTCTGCTGGCTGGTGTTACTGTGTATGTGATTACATGCACAGGTGCTCACACATACATATGTAAACTGCATCTCTTCTAATCAACAGGGATTTATTTCTTCCTGGGGAAACAAAAAAGACAGGCAGTGTTTCCTTACCATGTAGCTATTCTCAGAGATTCTCCCCAGGGAGGCAAGTAAGATTGCATTTAAGGGCTTTACCAGAATCAAACAAAGTTTTTCCCAAGGACCCTGCAAATCAGCAAATTCCTCAGCACCTTCAAGACATGCTCCACAACTTACTGTGTGAGCCGTGAACTAGACCAGTGCGTCTCAACTTTTTTCGTACCAGAACCCATTTGCTAAGATTGATGTCTTGTCTTGATCCACGCCCCATGGGCCATGCTGGGGCCCCTCACTCTCAACCTACAGTTCGCTGCCCCCACCCCTCCAGCCCGGCCAGAGGGGGCCCCCAGCTGCCCCCATCCCACCCCTGAGCAGCAAGTGTGGGCCCCTGCATGTATGGGCACTAGCCCTGTACCGCTGGCCCAGGCATGCAGCTCCCCTCTGCAAAGGACTATCCCCCACCCCTCCACACACACACACACACACCAGCCTCCGGACAGTCCTCTGGACCTCCAACCCCCATTCCCCATGCACTTATCTGCATCCAGCAGCTGGGGCTGCTGCCACATGTGCAGATGCCTGCGGCCTCCAATTGTCCCAGGCAGCCTCTTGCAGGCTGGAAGGCTGCCAGCCTGCAAGGGGAAGCCTGCTCTTTCGCACATTTTTCTGGGACTCGCTTGCGACTCTTTCATATATTCTTTCAACCCACTTTTGGGTCTCGACGCACCAACTGAGAAACACTGAGCTAGACCACTCCTGCAGGGGAAGTTGAAATTGCTTTTCCATCTCCTTTGACTGTTTCAACAAAGCTCAGCACACTGGATTCTGCCTTCATAAAATGATGTAATCAGGGCTTATATCCAGCCATATGGCTATACTTACATTTCCAATACAACCAGTTAACCAGGAAAAGAAAGAGGTCAAATTCTAAATGAATAATCAGAGACATTTCCTTCATGGAACCTTAAATACTCAGAGAAATTTCGCTTTTAAATTTACAAGTACCCAAAAGACTCTAGAGACATCTATTTTTTTTCCTCTGATCAACATCTATTTTTTTACCTCCGATCAACAGTTCAAGCCTTACACCTTTTTCAGGAGTAATATAATGTTGTTATCACTTAATCCATGCTCACTAAGGGTAGAAAAATAATTTATAAATAATAGTTTGGTTGACACATTTTATTACTGTTACAGTTAATAAGCTTTCCAAACACAGATGTCTTCATTATTCAAAATTACCATGACTTTCTCCAGCAAATATCTCTTGGTTGGAGAAATATCTCTTGGTTCATCAACCGTTCATTATAAATATTTGAAAACCACAATTTGTGTGACATGTAGGTTACCTACGTACGTTTCATGGATTTATTTCCGTTTTATGATTGAAAATATATCAATGAACCAATAACAGCACAAAGTTCACAGCGTGTATCAGAGGGTTGCATTAAACAGTGTGCAGCTAAAAATTCACACCAGTATCAGCTCTAAACTATAGTTGGGGTTTTTTTGTATTTGAGCAGATAGGTTTATAATTCACTGAATATCTACACTGGTAAAGTTTGTTCTCCTGAATATTTAGGGAAACACAAAATGAGCAGGAATAAAATCCAAACAAATGTCTTAACGTAGGAATAAATATTTATAATAAAAAATGAGCAGCATTTAGCAAGCTCTATTGAATATGAGGTGGGTTTGGTAGATTCTGGCCACTGCCCAATGGACTAGCATCAATTTAAGAAGTAATCATCAATTGTTGCACCTGACAGCCAGGGACTGAATGAATAATGCACATATCCCTGGCCTATAGGCAGCCTTGAGATGTTAAGGGTAAAGTACATTGCTGGGATACCGTGCAGAGGAAGCTTACTCTACAAGTGCCTATGCTGTATTAATTCTGAGGACTGGAACCTACCCGGAGCTCTTGCACCCAGCATGAACATTAAATCCACAAGCACATACGTGCATTTGCCAGTGTTTGATACTCAAAGTACTCTAAGAGCTCTGTACAAAACAAGGTGACTTGCAGAAGAAATCTATGTGGCTGCAAAAATGATTGCCTTGCTTCATCCGGTTTCCTTTGGACCCACAAAGCAGAGTTGCTGAGTTATTGCATTCTTTTTTGATGTCTTACACAAAATCATATTATTAAGTCCAGAGCCACAGCTGACTGTTCTCTGCTCCCGGGTTTGCATTTCATGGTCACCACAGCAACTGCCACAAACAGTCTTGTTAACCTCTGAGAGCACCCTGTTCATAATCTTAATAATCCACCCTCTCCAGATGGAAGAGGAGTTTTCTTTCACAAAACAAATAGCTTCTTCCATGAGATATGGATGAGACCATTCAAATTGTCTTTGTGCACTGATTTTTCAGGTGCAATGAAGCTGAAGGAAGGAAGAAACTTAAACAGTGAAATAAGGTATTGTCTACACGGTCTACATTGCAGTATAGTCTAAGAATTTAAACCAGTTTAATTATACCAGTATCAACCCTCACGTGAACACACTCACAAATGAGTATATGTACCTCTGTAACTATATTGGCATAAGTGGCTAAAATCCCTGCGTACAAAAGACCTAATTTATATCATGTCTGATGTCACCTGCATCACAAAGCTACATAATTTTTACTGATGGTGTATTCAGTGGGTTTACAAAACAAATAATATTGATGTTAGACCAGATTCTGAACTCTCTAGACGAGCTGCAACAGTATTTAAATCAATGGACTTACCCTTCCTGGCGTCCATTGGAGTAACTGAATACAAATCTAATCCTAAGCATGAAAGAAGCCAGGACAAGGTGGCACCTTAGAGACTAATGGGTTCAGAGAAGCATAAACTTTTGTAGGCAGCCGTGTTGAACCAATGGTGCAGCAGACATACACTGCATGCCAGCTAATTTATATCTTTCCCACAGTAAAAGGCCTGAACCAGACACTTGGATTACAACATCACCAAAGTTCTTCTCCGGGTTTTGGAGGATTTTTTGCTGATTTATTTTTTTTGGATGGGGTGGGGGAATGGAACTGTAATATCTCTAGGTTTTCTTCTGTTCGGAGACATTAAAACCACCAGTTTACTCACTGTTTCAGTGATTATTTTGTGGTTTTCTGCTTTATTTTAAGCCTTTACAACACACTTTGAACTATCCTTTACCCATCCAAAAGTGATCCTCTAGGAATCCTGTAACTGTGCCTGAATTTTCAAGGTCTCCCCTCTGCCGGATATACAATACAGCACTAAAGGGGGCACCAATATGAGCCCCATAGTGTGCCAACCCTGCAGCCCCAGAAACTGGTACGAGAAGCAAGGGGGAGTTCCCACTTTCATGTAGAAAATCATAGGGGTTGGGGTCACAAGCCAAAGGGAGGGAACAGGTAAAAAAGTAAGGAAACATTAACACTGTGGTAACATACACTCAGCACCTTAATTTCCACCTCATTTTAATGTCCATGAAGTGTCCCCAAACAAGCCTTTAGTCCCAAGAGCTCTCAAACATCAGTCTGCAGCTGCCTCCAACTCTGAGTCCAGCTCTTTCAGCCCACAGTCCTGGCTAACTGAGCCAGTGAGATCTCCAGCTGCACTGTCATTCCTATGCGTAGGGCTGGCCAGGTTCTCTGTGCACACTGCTGTCTCTTCCACTTACTCCAGCCTCAAGCGTCCTCCTCTTTTTTCCCTTGCCCCCTAACCCCTGGATGTTTCTGTAGTCCAAATGAACCATCAACACAGCACTGAAGACTGCGCCCTGGTTTCTCCTGCTGTTACACATGTTATAGTCACATTACAATAGCTTATTTACTAGTTGAAAGAATCTGAGGTTTATATGAAACTTTTTTGAAGCATGCATATCACATGTCAAAAAATTAGTTATTTCCCTTATTGACCCCCAGTTTATTTAGGTATATGAACAGTCTCATTGATGTCAATGGCAATGCCACATGCAGCGGTTATTGGCTTTGGTTTTGCAAGACTTGCAAATCTCACCAGAGCTGCACATCTGCTCATGACTTCCTAATGCCTTTGTTGGCTCATGTCTGAGCAATCTATTTCTCGCATAAATAAAGAGCAAAATCACTCAGTAATGACCATGTGATAAGGCTCCATCTACTTTTATTTGTTTATAATATCCCTAATTAGGTGATGTGCTGGGAGGCCCATTCCAGAAATGGGTGGGTTTTGTTTCCATGAGCCTTTCAGTCTTAGATTAGCACAGAACTTCAAAAGTATTTACACTAAGCAAAATGCATACACAAAAGCCATGATGTTGATGGCTTGCAATGCTCTGCAGGAGCATAAAGAGGCTTGAGAATAACCTTTGAAGAGATATACAGAAGGTCTGAAAGCAGAAAGCACCACCCTTCAAGGTCCCACTGATGCTGCAAAAATATATTCAGTATTTTATCTTGAAGCCTCCCTTGCACATGTTGAAGTAGGATGAGGGAGCATATGACACTGGGAGGTCCCACTGATGCTGCAAAGATATAAAACTGATGCTCAGCTTTTTCCAGCTTGGACACCTAAAGCTAGGCACATAAAATCCCATTAAAATACCTAAATAAAGTTGGATTTTTCAGGAGTACTGAAACATATGCACACCACTCCCACTGAAATCAGCACGCCTGCGGGTATTCAGCGCCTAAGAGACTCAGGCCATATTTATGTAGGGGTCTAAACAGACATTTAAGAATCTGTTTGTAGACACCTCTTGGCTAAAGGTGCCATTGATTATTTAAATCTTTTAAATCTCCTGCAGTACTCACATAAGCATCATTTAAAGCATGGACTCTCATGGATGGCAGTAAGCTTACTTAGAGGTTTAAACACAGCCTAGAACATTTTCAGGATTGAGGCTAGTTTCTTACAACTGTCTGAATCAGTATATCCCCAGGGTGCCCTCACCATATTCCCATTCCCAATATCTTTTTGGTTTTCAATGGACTCCCTTGTCCCCACCCCTCTAATCTAGCTGTACACAACTACCACCTCTACCTCT